CATTCCCAATGCAAAAAAGGTGCCTTTTTTCCCAAAAGAAAGGTGTAAACTTTCCAATTTCCATAGCAAAATATTAATTAAAAAATTAAAGTCCATGAAACTTAATCGCATAAAAAACCAAAAAAAAAACACACTTGCAAATGAAAGTGAAACAAACAAGTTTTATGTACGATTATTAATTAGTCAAATAGATTCTTAAACTGGTTCGGGGAACCAGGTTATTGTTTTTATAAAAATGTGTAACTATAAGTGCAGAGTATCTTGTCATGAAAATCGACAAAAACATCATTTTGGTTTCAAAAATAGACATTTCATTTAAATATAAGTAAGCTACACCTAAAAACATACCCACGCTAAGGCATGTTCTATCTCGCGCTCTATTGGCAAGCAACGATGTCCATGTGATCAAGGAAATTCGTGACTATGTGACTAGCGACTGTCACTCAGAAAGACAAATAACAGCAATTATCAACACTCAAAGATAATCATGACAAAGCTAATGTATTTTCATAAAGAGCCTACATAGCCATGTTTGTTCTGTTTAATGGTTTATTCAAAACCAGAGTTAAATTGATGACAAAAATCTAAAAAAAGCAAAATTTGAGGATTTTTTTAATGAATGTTGGTCATCCAACTTTTCCCAAAATGATGATAATTTTCCCAATTTGAACGGCCCTGGCCCCAGTCCCAAAAAGTGGTGTGAGAGCCCTGATTTCTTCTGGCATAATATGGGTTTGGGGAGTTTACACTTTATATAAACTGTAGAGCCGGATATAAAGAAAACATAAACTGTTCAAACCCAGGATACTAGTATAATTTGCTAATTAGGTATGAAATTTATGCCCTGTTCACACAGAGAGTTTAATTTGCAGTAAATTAATGCGAAGTAAACTAATGCGAATTCAAATAATGCAAATTAAATTGCGTTCACACGACAGCTAAAGTGAGGTAAACTAATGCGAATTAAAATCTTATTTCTGCAAAAAGGCTATTCTTAAGGTTATTATGATGTTATTTGTAAGTCACGTCATGTTTGCAGAGGCATCCATTCGATATATAATAATCATAGTGGCTTCAGGTATACATTCAGTAATTAACATACTTTTCCTTGATTTTTGAACCAAATATAGCACGGATACCTATATTTAACCACCAACATGTGTCCTGTGACTTAATTCTGGCCTTACACATCAAAATTTAATTCGAATTAGCTTCGCTTAGCGTTCACACGGAGTTCACATGGAGTTAATGTGAAGTAAGTTAATGGGCAGTAAATTAATTTGAATTAAACTAATTCGCATTAAATTCTCTGTGTGAACGCTAAGCGAAGCTTATTCGCAGTAACTTACGTTTAATTTGAATTAAACTCTCCATGTGAACAAGGTATTAATCGGTATTTATTTAATTTTTCATCATCTTGTCATGCTAGGGTAGAAAAAAGACAATTTCTCCTTCAAAAATGCCATTGAATTGAACATACATGTATTTAAACACAACCTCCAGCAGATCGATACATTTACTTTTGAATGTATCGATTCAACCTCTAATTAAACAACAGCAGTACTAAGAAAAAAAAACCATACAGTAGGCTCTGACATTATTAAAATGAATCATTGTTGAATTGCGATTTATATTTCAGAGATTTGTTCCGGATAAAAGATGTAAAGACCATTTACCATATCTTCGTAGCCATTCTGATTGTGTTCAGTCTCAATACTCTTGTGTATGATCTCATTAATGAAGGGAGGTAAGTGTAATTCATTCTCAAGAGGATAAACCTTCTACGGTGGACCTTCAGATATCCGGACGCCAGATATCTGGATGCTTCAGTATCCGGACGATTTTTCATGGGAACAGATTTTTTCAATGTTATTTTGTCTTGTTTAACTGGTGATTCAGGTATCCGGATGCTTCACATATCCATGCATACAAATTGACTGGGAACCCAAGTGTCCGGATAAATGAGGCTCCACTGTACTTAACTTAACCTTCAATTTTAGATGCATTCATTCATGAAGTGTAAATGTTGATGTGTAAAATGTTAATTATTACAGCAAGAACTTGAATCAGTAAGGTTTGAAAAAATGAAATTATTATAAGGAAATTGACAATGGTCATGTTACTGAAAAGTAGAAAAAAGATAATTGTATATCAGTAATTTACATGTAAATAACTGGTTTCAAAAAAAGGTGTAGAACTGTGTTACATTGTATTATCAACATATTGAAAATTCAGTCTGTGTTTTAATAGACCACTTTCTATCTGTTGTAGGTTAAATCTCAGCTTTGACCTGATCCAGTATGGGATGGGGAAATTCTCAAAAGTGATGGAGCTCTGGGTCACCATGACCCTGTCAACCTTTCTGGTGGTCTACCCAGGGTTCTACTACTGGTCAATGCACAGAACACCAGGCAGAGTGGGTCAGTAAACTGTTTCATTTAAAAGCTGTTCTTTCATTAAAATGCATTTATAAAGCACTAGAGTAAATCATTTGATCAGAGACTTGTGAAACAGGTAAGTGCATACACCGTAAACAAACTATTATTCGTGTCATATTTTATTTTTGATTCGTCATTTTGGAAATCGATTTGCGACGATTAAACATTTTCTGCAAATGTAAAGAAAAACAAATGTTTGGCAGATTTAATATTCGCGAGTTAACGAAGGTTGCAAAACTCGTGTATATTTCTCGCACACAAATAAAAGTAGGTTAAAAAAAAACTTTACAGTATACAAGTACATACACTTGATAAATTTAGTTTTACTTAGGGCTGGGTATCCACTGGAAATATCACAATACTGCAATATTTTTAACTGTATTGCTGATTTTATTTGAGAACATCTAGGGTATAGATGAAATGAGTTATTCAGCTCGTAGTTTCTTGTTTTTCTTCCGTTTAGATGGGTACGACATAGCAGCTGGCTGTATCTATATTCTGTATCAGCTAGTATTTCTTCTGTGGCCCATTAAGTACATCACTGACAATTCCTTACCTCCGGGTTCCAGCATCATAGTCACAGCGGAGCAGGCAAGGAACTTTCTCATGATAAATTTTTTTTTTCTAAAACATATATACAGTTGAACTTTGGTCTCTTGAACACTGAAATCTCAAAAATCAATGAATGTCAAAGTGATAAGTCCTCAACCACCTATTCTTCAAGTATTTTACCTTAGATCCCTTCACGTTCAAGATAACCAGTTTTGATTGTACACACTTGAAAATACATTTGGAAAAAAAAGACTTTCTCTTAAATATTCTTGTCAAAGCAAACAGGAGAAATCAGTCTACTCCAGATGTGCAATAAATAAAGCTAATGTGATTTGATGTGAGCATATTCTTGTTGGTGTAATAATGAATTTGTTAATTTCAGATCCGATTAATGATGAAAGTCCATGCTTTTGTTAGAGAAAATGCCGCTAAAGTATTAGCCTACAAAAAAGGTAATATATTTACCTTGATTTTCTTTTTTAACCGTGATTTTTAGCTCTACTGGTCAGAGACCAGAAGAGCTTATGCGATAGTAATGCGTCCGTCGTCCGTCCGTCTGTCTGTCTGTCTGTCTGTCTGTCCGTCTGTCTGTCTGTAAACAATTTTTCAAAATGCTACTCCTCCTACAGTTTTGGTCTGATTTCAGTATAACTTGGCACACAAGTAGACTACACTAAGATACATAATTCTGTATATCGGTTTTTGATTTCGATGAACGGTGTTGCCGTGGTTACTAAAAATAGAAATTTCTGTGAAATTCTTTCAAAATGCTACTCCTCCTACAGTTTTAGTCTGATTTCAATATAACTTGGCACACAAGTAGACTACACTAAGATACATAATTCTGTGTATCGGTTTTTGATTTCGATGAACGGTGTTGCCGTGGTTATTAAAAATAGAAATTTCTGTAAGATTCTTTCAAAATGCTACTCCTCCTACAGTTTTAGTCTGATTTCAATATAACTTGGCACACAAGTAGACTACACTAAGATACATAATTTTGTATATCGGTTTTTGATTTCGATGAACGGTGTTGCCGTGGTTACTAAAAATAGAAATTTCTGTGAAATTCTTTCAAAATGCTACTCCTCCTACAGTTTTAGTCTGATTTCAATATAACTTGGCACACAAGTGGACTACACTAAGATACACAATTCTGTATATCGGTTTTTGATTTCGATGAACGGTTTTGCCGTGGTTACTAAAAATAGAAATTTCTGTGAAATTCTTTCAAAATGCTACTCCTTCTACAGTTTTAGTCTGATTTCAATATAAATTGGCACACAAGTAGATACAATAAGATACATAATTCTGTGTATCGGTTTTTGATTTCGATGAACGGTGTTGGTTACTAAAAATAGAAATTTCTGTGAAATTCTTTCAAAATGCTACTCCAAATACAATTTTAGTCTGATTATAATATAAATGTTGCATGCAAGTAGACTGCACTAAGAACATAAAGGGACTTAATCAAGGATCATTATTCTATTTATTGCTGTTGAAAAGTTTCAATTTCCAACTGCTGAAGTACTTTTCTCTTCCTTTGCTATAAGTACAAACCAGTAGAGCTTCAGTCTCGACAGAGACTTCTGGTTCTTCTTTCATTTTGATGAAGAAGCTTGAAAGGAAAAAAAAAAATTCACTGCTTCAGTGCTTTAGATTTTTGTATGTAGAGTTATCTATGATTTTGTATCTAGTATTTTCTATGTTTATATTTTGTGTGGAGTGTTTTCTATGTTTAAAAAAAAAATTCGGTGTTTTACAGATGATAATTCTGAGGATCATGTTTGCCCCGATTTCTCCAAGTATCTGTATTTCTTGTTCATCCCAACCCTTGTCTACAGAGACTCTTATCCAAGGTATTTTTAATGTTCATCAATAAATATAAAGCAGTAGAGATTATTCAACAGTAACATCAATTTGTCTTCCTCTTTAGAACTTGGATTGATACTGTAAACCAACTATTATTGGTGTCATTTTTCATCCACGATTTATCGGTTTGAAATCAATCCGCGGCCATCAACTTTTGTGACTGAGGTATCATTCTTTACAAATACAAAGGGAAATAAATAAATCATGGGGATTAATATTTGCAAATTAATGTAGGTCACAAAACTCATGGATATTTCTTGCACCCTTATAAAAGTTGGTTTACATATACAGTTCTTAGACTGCCTCCTGTTTGAATATATATATTGAAAATGATTGATTCCTCGCCAGGACACAGAAGATTCGCTGGAGTTACGTGGTCAGTAATTTAGGACAGGTGCTTGCCTGTTTGTTCTACACGTACTACATCTTTGAGAGATTCCTTGTGCCTGTCTTTCGTAACTTTGGTCGTGAGCACATTACAGCCAAGGCTCTGATTTTGTCGGTGTTTGGCTCCATGTTGCCTGCTACGCTAGTCTTAGTTCTGGGTAAGAGTGATGTTGTAAGATTCATTACTGTATTCTGGGTTATTTTTGCACCCTTTTGCACATGTGAACAATTCTGCCCCATTTTAAATTCGTCCAGTCATGATCTTGTTTCAGAAACGTGTGTTCTTTGAATTTGTCCTCTTTTTAATTCGCACAATCATGAAGAGGGCGAAAATAAAACAGGGGCGAAAATTCCCCTGTATACAGTATCTGTCTGATCATTTACATGTATAAAAATTATCTTACGTGTAAATGCTTTTTTTTAAATAAAGAAATTTAGGTCATAATTTACAGAAAAACTGTTTTAGCATATTTTGCAATGAAAATTTGACATAATTGGATTCTAACTTACATGTAATAATATTTTGTTAGTCATTGAAAAGTTGATAGACAGAATAGTAGTCTTTTTTCCTCTTTGATTGTAGGCTTCTTTGCTATCTTGCATTCCTGGTTTAATGCCTTTGCAGAAATGATGACTTTTGCAGACAGAATGTTTTACAAGGTTTGTTCAATGTCGTAAAATATTTATTTATACAAAATTTTATTCACAAAGTGAATGGTATTGGGCAGCAGGCAAAGCCTATTTTAGCCCTCTCATATAATATACTGCTTTTAAAAATACAAAACTGTTGAAACTTAAGGTAATCTTTGTTTATGATGTCTCTTTAATTAAAGTCTTGCTAAACAATGTCTGCACAATACACTTAGATTTAATATGCAGCCCTCAGCCTTATATGATTTAAGAGCAACTCTGAAGAGAATTCTTCAACACCGTGGGTCCAACAAATGTGTAATATAATGTCATTCTTACTTTATCTCATTTGTTTAAATTGATAGGATTGGTGGAACTCCACATCCTTTGCTAGCTACTACAGGACTTGGAATATTGTTGTACATGACTGGCTGTATACTTACATTTACAAGGATGCATTCAAGGTATTTCCTTACCCTATCTTTAAAAGCTGAAAACTATTTATAGATTTAAAATCAAAAGGTATTTGAGTTTACTTGTACAATTTTGTACTTGTTTCTGTCATCAGTTGCATTTGGTTTTGTAATAATGGAATGTTGAAACCTTGATGAAAATGTTTACATGCATTGGTATTTGTTAACAGTATTTTCAGTCATGTCAAATATATGTATATTTAAAGAGACATATTAATTGCTAGTTAACTCACATGGATACATATATGACAGTTTCCATTCACCAAATTTCAAAATTTCACTTCATCAATAAACTGTAGTATCATTAAAATTTTCATGGGTCAAAAATTTATGGTGTGGGTAAAAATTACATTCAAGGGGTTTTAATTTCATGAATGAAAAAGGATTTATAATTTACAGCTTTTCCCCAACAATCGTTCCCTGGCCATGGCGTTTGTGTTTCTGATCTCGGCTGTCGCTCACGAGTACGTGCTGATCATGTGCTTTAAGTTCTTCTATCCTGTTTTGTTCGTCATGTTCATGGGAGCTGGGTGTAAGTACAAAACTTCATTGTTGAATCTTTTATTGTACTGACCTCCCAAAATTTTCAGTTTGTTTAAATGTACAGTATATTTAAACACACTTATAGCGAACATGTTTATAATTGAATTTACACGCACAGGGAAGGGATTTTTATTCCCCATGTCTCTAAAATATATATTGTGAGTGTAATATTTATAACATATTACGCTTATAACAAAATAAAATCATCTGACCCACTTTATTATAAGCCTGTTTATCTGTATACGATAAACATTATGAATTAATTGAGCTGTACATATGTTTTTTAGCACTTTTCGCAGAAAGCAACTTCTGCTAATTCAAGTACCACGCTGAATGTCTTGTTCATGTACATATGAATAGGAATATAAGTAAATGTGCTAATTCAAAATTTCGCTTACTTGTTCAAAAGATCAATTTCTGCCAAAGATTGTACACACTAATATTCTGTTAAAAAATCTTTTATTTGTAGGCGAGAAATATTCGTGAGGTTTACAAGAGCCTAGTCATCGCAAATATTTCTTGCCGCTAAGCGGTCCTTAAAGTCTCTTTGTCTATTAACAACGGATCAAAAAAAGACTTGATTGCGAAAATAAATTGTCGCGAACTAGTTTTCCCCTGGAAAATTGTGAAATAAAGTTGTCGCGATGAAAAATTGGTTTACAGTAATGCATTTACAGTAATTTTGATTTGAATCTCAATAATTAGCAGTATGTACATTATATTATATATTATTTTTTTATGTGCCCGGATCGATAGATCCGAGGCGTGTATTGTTTTTGTCCTGTCTGTTTGTCTGTTTATCTGTTTGTCTGTCTGCTGAAAACTTTAACCTTAGCCATAAATTTTGAACCTTGAGATATAGAGACTTCATATTTGGTATGCATACTCCACTAAAAATGTTCTTTCAAAAGACAACAAGGTCAATGACCTTGTGACCTTAATGCTAAAAATAGCTATTTTCGAACTTTTGCCATAAATTTTGAACCATAGGAGATATAGACTTCATATTTGGTATGCATACTCCACTACTAAAGTTCTTTCAAACAACATTAATATCAATGACCTTGTGACCTTGACTGTGACCTTTATGCTAAAAATAGTTTTTTGTGACTTTGTTGCCGCCGGGCGCATAGTGCTTCACAAACACATCTTGTTCTTTTTGCAGTTGGGTTCATCTTCTTTAAGGGAGTGGGTAGGGGCTGGAATGTGTTTCTGTGGCTGATGTTGATAATGGGGAACGGAACGTTGATGTGTCTGTACAGTCTGGAGTGGTACGCGCGACAGAGGTGTCCAGAGAATATGGTAAAATTATTAGTCCTCTCATGACAGAGCTGTACAGAAAATAAAGTAAATTTTATCAATTTTCTCAAAGGTGTCCAGAAAATATAGTAAATTTGAAAAATCCTCGCAAAGGTTTCCAGAAAATTGATAAATTTATCAATTCTCTCAGGGGTGGCCAGAAAATGTGGTAAATTTTAACATTCATCTCAGAGGTGTCCAGAAAATATAGTAAATTTTAATATTCATCACAGAGGTGTCCAGAAAATATAGTAAATTTTAACATTCATCTCAGGGGTGTCCAGAAAATGTGGTAAATTTTAACATTCATCTCAGAGGTGTCCAGAAAATACGGTAAAGTTTAACATTCATCTCAGAGGTGTCCAGAAAATATGGTAAATATTTATACCAATAATCTCAGAGGTGTTCAGAAAAAAAATGGTCAATTTTATCAATTTTCTCAGAAAAGTCCAGAAAAAAATGGTCAATTTTATCAAATTGAATTATTTCGGACAAGTCCAGAAAAAAATGGTCAATTTTATCAATTCTCAGACAGGTTCAGAAAAATTTGTATATTTATCAATTCTCTCAGGTGTCCAGAAAATAGAGTAAATTTTATCAATTCCCTGAGGGGTGTCCAGAAAAAATTTGGATGATTTTATCAATTCTCTCAGAGGTGTCCAGAAAATTTGTTAAATTTTATCAATCCTTTCAGATGTTTCCAGAAAATGCGGTAAATTTTATCAGTCCTCTCCAAATAGGACAAATTTGAGTGAGAGCTTTGGAGTTAAGATTGCTAACAATTTTGGGAGAGTTTTTATAAATATTTTAGATTTTATACATTGTTAATCTTTTTTCTTTCAGAATAACTTTTTGGATTATCTTATTCCTCGATCATGGACCTGTGACTTTGAAGCCATGGAAAACTGAACAGCTTTTCTTCTTTTTCATAAATGTGCAATATCGTTTATATTTTATGAGGTATATACTTCAGAATACAACATTTTTTTTTTTTTGGTGGAAATAATTGATGTACATTATACATTAATGCCCGAAAAGTACACAGAAGTCTTTACGCATCTGTTCAATGGACTATTAGTGCATGTATACATGTATATTAGCTCAGGTTGATAGCATAATATCCATTCTCTACATATACGTGTTTTCCTTACCCTTCAAATATACCGGTACATCAGTAAAAAAGGATGATTTTGTTTAATATTATATTAATTTGTCAGAATTTTTTTTTCTTTTAGATAATTTAATTGTTCAGTTTTAATCATCCTAGTTTTGTTTTTTGCAAAGGTTAAATAAATGCCATGTGTTTGATTGTATATTGTATAAAGTGCTATTTTCGCCCAGTGTTATTTCCACCCTTTTACACTTGGAAACTATTTTGTCCTGCTTTAAATTCACCCAGACAAGGTTTTGATTTAGAGATAATGTGATTTTCTTGAATTCACCCCCTTTAAAATTTACGTACAAGTACATGCAGCAAGGGCAAAAAGGTAACAATAAATTGTGGGTTAAAATTTCTCTGTATACAGTATTTCTGACATATACACTGTACATTGCTTATTATTTCATCCCAAGAAAACCATTTTGAATTCATCCAAGATGCAGAGATATAAATAGTGTTTTGCAAGTTTTTGAGTATGAATTTAAGATACAAACAGTATTTACATTAAGTTGTGTAATTTTTTATATGCAGTAAAAATGAAATTAGTTAACAAAGAAGATGAATAAGTGAAAAAAAATATAATGAAATATGTCAATATTTATTTATGGTTATCAACGTGTGTTTCATAGAATTTATAGTGATATTGGTGTCATATTCTTTATGGGAAGTTTTATATACATGTAAGTGCAATTTTCTTGACTATGTTTATAATTCCAAGTTATTCATGAAATTTGACTGAAATGGTTTTCAAATGTAGATTACAGTGTATGTATATTTATGTGCCATGAACAAATTTATTATAACTGTAGTTACCTTGTATTTTTTTGCAATTGCTTTCTCTTGTACATACATGTGTGTCTCTTATTTCTTAACCTAAATGTCAAACTTAAAAAATAATCATTCTACTTATTTGGCCATGAAGGAAAACATTTTTTGCAATTTACATTTTTATGAAAGAGCAAAATTAATTTGTGCAAAAATTGTTAAATTACTTATATTAAAAAAATTGGAGTTTATCCATTAATTTTCATGCATATATCACCTAACTATTACACGTTTTCACATGATCATGTTTGTCAAAATGTTTTTTATCCATATACTCTTGACAAAAAATATTTATCAAATTGAATGATTGTACATGTATCATGTATATGCCTGTATGAGCCACTCTCTTAGAAAGTAGTTTTGTACTTCATTGATTATCAAAGCAAAAAATTCTCAGTTAACAAACTGAATGAAAACAGACTCAAACTTGGATTGTACTGTATATAAATACAGTGAAAACTGTCCAATCCAACACCTCTGTAATTCATCATACTTTGAATTCCAATGTTAAATTTCGTTCCCATTTGACTATTTTCCATGTTTTTGTACATGTACACTGTGTAAACCTACACCCTATCTATTACAACATAAAATTCGTCTCTTTAATAGTGCATGTCGGATTAGACAGGTGTCACTGTATGTATTTATACAAGGTAATAGCCCACACAATTTCCATGGTTTACTTCCCTTTTCTAGTCACATGCTATCAGAACAAATTTTAGCTGTTACAGTAATAAAAAAGTAAAATTGTAATCAGACCAGGCCTTTTAACTCTAGTCAGGTGCTCTGCCAAGTGAGGTACATGTACATGGTATCTTACCCTAGCCATTTAACAGAGAAAGTGGATTGTAAAATATATATCTTTTGGATGTTATGTATACTCGTAAATGTTTCTCATTGTCAAACTTACATGAATGACTTGTTTGCCTTTTATACATGTGTCTCGGTTCCCTGAAATGAGGAAGGTACTTTAAAATTCTGTAAATATTTTAAACTCTTCTCAAGCTATATTTTAAATACAATGATGAGAGATGTTTGTATCATTGTATAAAATTAGCCCCTTCAATAACTATGGTACTGCTCTTCTGCAGGGCAAAATAATAACGTTTGGCGAAGTTTTTGTTGACAGATAATTAAATGACGTATATTAAACAATTTCTTTTACGTCATACTTTACCAAACTTTATCATTTTGCCCTGCAAAAGAGCAGTACCGCAGTTACCGTGAAAGGGTCTATTGAGTTTATTTCCTTAAATGAAAAAAAAAAAAAGATTGGGACCAAAAGTATTTGTGGGTATATTTTTTTTACATTTTACAGATTACATGCATGTTCATGCTATTGGAAAATTTAAGTAGAATACAAGTATCCTGAAATAATCCTATTCACAGTTTTCTGTTTCCCCAGAAAGGGGAATATAAGAAAAGGGGGGGGGGGGAATCGAATGATTTTTTTTTTCTTTTTTTTTTTAAATGATATTATACTGAAGTATTCTTTTAATTATGAGATTTTGGTTTATTTATATTTTAATGTTTGTGAATTTTTTTTGTTCAAATGAAGGACATGTTTTTGAAAACAATGAATTGATTAAGGCCTCATTGTCTGAAAAAATTTTGTGATACTTTGTGATAAAACATTAAAATGAAATTGATATACTGAGGTTTCCCTTCTGCAATAAAATATATTTATATTTTCTTTGTGATTTTTTTATTTATACACACATAAGTTGATATTCAATTTTGAATCACAAAATTTCCAGTTGTCTTTCACAGAGCAGTCATTGGGGGCAAATGTAATGTTAGTGTCCCAGGTTAAAGTGTTTGGAGCAGATGTTTTTTTTTTTTTTTTCAATTACTTCTACATGTACATGTATGTCCTACACTGATCAGAAATGCATACACAATGCTTTTAATTTGTTTCATTGTAACATTCATATTTCAGATGCTGCATTTCCAGCCAAATAATTACCAGGTTAATATTTTTGGAGAGGTTAAAATTTTGGGTACATGTACATGTATACGTTTTTATAGCAGTATCTCATTTCCATCAGTAACTACTGTAGACCACTTAATTTTTGCGACACCTTATTTTCGCAAGATAGTCATTGACTCTTTATTAGCGAGACAAAATTTTCACGAATTGTGGTCACTGCTCTGTATAATCTTAAGGAATTTTATAATACGCGAGAATGAAATTTTCGTGAGCATTCCGTCTCGCGTAATTACGCGAAATATAAAGTTCTCGCGAATAAAAAGTGATTTACAGTATGTGCATTATATTGACCAGATTTGCTTTGGATGATGGATCTCACCTATCTTCCTACCAAAATAGAGAATATACTGCAAACTATATCAATTATTTTTAATGTTAAACTATTATTTCTAACAAACATAAATTATAAATACATTGTACATAAATGTGTACTAAAATACTAAGACTATGGTGAACTTTATTAGTGATCATTCTGTATATCATGATGTATATACAAAAATATGTTAACATACTAATTAAAATATAAATGCATAAAATTAAAGATGTATATGTAATTAAATTATCACTAAATATTTCTTTCAAGTGTATACAAACACGTTAACAGAGAATATTAATAATTTTTAAAAAACACAACTGCATCAGCAAATGAATATGTGTTCTTTAAACAGTATACCTATAAATTTCAAAACTTATGTTTTAATAAAAACAATTTTCAGTCTAAAATTGAGTACTTTTAAATTTTAAAAATCTCAATGTTACATAAATATAAAAATGTAGATATATAAAAACAAATTAAAAAACAGATTAAAATAAAAAAAATGCATTAACCTTTAACATCCAGTCAAACTAGCTGTATCCCCTGACCTAGGGGGAAAAAAACAAAACAATTTTTGAAATTATACTGAAAAAGAAACGCAATTATATAATAATAATGTTTTCTATAGTTACATACTATTAGTCATTTCATTTACAATAGAGACTAAACCAAGAATTTATTTCTTTAAAAGATATATATAAAATATACATTTATCAAACACATGACTTTCTCAAGTGATATGACATAAATTGACAATGCTTCTTTAAAATACAGTTAAATCTCGTGGTGCCCTATATGTAAATACCGTACATGTACACTGTCACACTGCCTTCCTTAGTTTTGATTTTCATAATGATGTGGAGTGATTTTTGTCATGGGTCTAGATTTAAGCAGCAACAATTATATACAAGTAATACATAAATTGATTGCATTGGCATATATTATCAAACAACAAAACTATCAAACATCTAAACATGAACAAAAAATCAACACTAAAATTTAAGAAAAAGGAATTTCTCTTCATAGACTTAAACAGCGGATACTGGAATAAGACAATATACTACCTGTATGATCAAACGCAGACAAATCTCTATTTTCTTATATACTAGTACTACACTCTCTATTTGAAGTATTTCCACTATTTTGTCAAAAAATGCCTCAAACACCCACATGTATAATCCCAATTACATGTATATCACATTCTCCTCTGTCGAATACCAGGATGAACTATGTATGTATTTTACAGCGGGTTCTAGAAATCCACCATAACTAGATAGCGCATCATGTTTTGGCTCTCCTTATAAACTAAATACTCGCTCTGGGAAAAGCTGCTCTTGTTGGCGTACTCTGGTACTGAGATAGGTACCCCCTGAGGTACAACTACGTCCTTACCATCCAGTTTTATTGTTGTGTTCTTTTTTGGGTCTGTAATCAAAATGGCTTCAATTAATTCCAAAATCTGTCTGATTTTATAATGACATACATGTAATTAGTCTGAGCAAAAGTTAGCAAGAACAAGATGTGTTGGTGAAACATTGATGCCCCCATATAGCAGCTTATGGCAAAAAATATAGGTCAAACAAGGGCAAAAGCTAAAAAATCCGGGTATTGAACCCCACCCCCCCAAAAAAAATGGTCACAATGAATACAAATGAGACACTTATGCCCCAAATGGTAGATAATGGCACTGCAACGGTTTATGAAAAAATAAATGAAGTTGCTCAGATGCAAGTCAAACTGCAAAGGTCAAGATCAAAAGGTCAATATTGTTGGTATCCAAAGAAAGGTCTCTGTACATAGAAGACACAAGTGAAATTAGAAATCCCAAGTGCTAACTGTTCAAAAATTACAGTCAAGGTTAATTTTTTTTAAAGTGGGTCAAACACCTAGGTCAAGGTCAAAAGGTAAAAAATATTAAGACTCTTTGAAATGGCTATTCACATTGAATACACATGTGAAGTATGAAAGGATTGAAAGCCTTAGCATCACATGTTCAGAAGTTATGACAAAGGTTGGAGTGTGGTAATTTTTTTTAAAGTGGGTCAAACTCCAAGGTCAACAGGTTAAATTTGGTGGTACCCAAAGAAAAAAGTTTTTGCAGACAGACAGATGAATGGACAGATCAAAATCTGTATGTGCCAAATTCTTGATCAAAGAGGACTTAAGAGGAGTAAAAATGACTGGGTTGAAGGTTTAAAAGTTCTCTCTCTCTCTCTCTCTCTCTCTCTTACCAGGCTCTGTCCATCCTTTAGCGATGATACAGTCATGCCCCGAGGGCGCTGCTTTTAACGTCCAATCATCATGAAGAATATGGTGCTCTTTTCCTAGTGCTACTTCATTCAGGAACATTATACCAGTTTTACCCGCACAACGCACTGAAATATTGGAATGTGAATGATAAAAAAAGAAAACGCCAAGGCATGATTTTTACCTTCAATCTCTAATGATTTTGCATTTGTACAATGTATCTTATTTTACAGGGGAAGTTTACTCCTCCTATGGGCATCTGATCCAACTTTTGGTATTTCTAGGAATATGTTTTTATGCCACATTCACAGATTTTTATTGTTTGTTGATTTTTTTTCGAGATTGGTCACTATTCGTTTTTCATGATAAATGAAAGAAAAAGTGAGCAAGCTCACATACCCCACGCTCCCCCAAAACTCAAAGTGCTGCAAAAATCTAATTTGAAAAGTGCCGAAATTCCCAGAAAAATAAAGGAATCGGAATTTCCTGGTAATATGCACATCTACACATTGTGTCCTAAATACCTGCAAAGTTTGACGAAATTCTGTGCAGCGGTTTATGAGGAATTGCGCTGACAAAATGTTCATCTCTATATTCAAGGTATGGCCAAAAATCTAATTTGAAAATTGTGGAAATTCTAAGAAAAATAAAGGAATCGGAATTTCCTGGTAATATGCACATCTACACACTGTGTCCTAAATATCTTTAAAGTTTGACGAAAATCTGTGCAGCGGTTTATGAGGAGTTGCGCTGACAAAATGTTCATCTCCATATTTAAGGTATGGCAAAAAATCTAAGTTGAAAAGTGTGGAAATTCTAAGAAAAATTAAAGGAATTGGAATTTCCTGGTAATATGCACATCTACACATTGTGTCCTAAATACCTGCAAAGTTTGACGAAATTCTGTGCAGCGGTTTATGAGGAATTGCGCTGACAAAATGTTCATCTCTATATTCAAGGTATGGCCAAAAATCTAATTTGAAAATTGTGGAAATTCTAAGAAAAGTAAAGGAATCGGAATTTCCTGGAAATATGCACATCTACACACTGTGTCCTAAATATCTTTAAAGTTTGACGAAAATCTGTGCAGCGGTTTATGAGGAGTTGCGCTGACAAAATGTTCATCTCTATATTCAAGGTATAGCCAAATGCCTAAGTAAAAAAGTGCAGAAATTCCTGGGAAAAATAACGGAATCGGAATTTCCTGGTAATATGCACATCTACACATTGTGTCCTAAATACATGCAAAGTTTGTCGAAATTATGTGAAGCGGTTTATGAGGAGTTGCGCTGACAAACTGTTCATCTCTATATTCAAGGTATGGCCAAATGCCTAAGTAAAAAAGTGCAGAAATTCCCGGGAAAAATAACGGAATCGGAATTTCCTGGTAATATGCACATCTACACATTGTGTCCTAAATACCTGCAAAGTTTGACGAAATTATGTGCAGCGGTTTATGAGGAGTTGCGCTGACACACTGTTTATCTCTATATTCAAGGTATGGCCAAATGCCTAAATTAAAAAGTGCAGAAATTCCCGGGAAAAATAACGGAATCGGAATTTCCTGGTAATATGCACATCTACACATTGTGTCCTAAATACCTGCAAAGTTTGACGAAATTCTGTGCAGCGGTTTATGAGGAGTTGCGCTGACAAACTGTTCATCTCTATATTCAAGGTATATGTATGGCCAAATACCTAAGTTAAAAAGTGCGGAAATTCCCGGAAAAAATAATGGAATCGGAATTTCCTGGTAATATGCACATCTACACATTGTGTCCTAAATACCTGCAATGTTTGACGAAATTCTGTGCAGCGGTTTATGAGGAGTTGCGCTGACAAAAAAAAAGGACTGACTGACTGACTGACACTATGACGGACGGGTCAAAAACTTATACCTCCCGCAACTTGTTGCGTGGGGTATAAAAAGGGAAATAAAGTTATACTGGTCAAATTTTCTTAATGCTATTTCACTGAATATGAGTCACAGACTCATTGAAATATTATACATTCAATTAAGGCCATGAAAAGTTAATTCCTTGGTTCTCAGGCCTTTTTTCAAGGAATATGATGAGGGATGGAGGCATTTTTTTTTCTTTTTTATTGCCCCCAAAACATGATGAGGCAGCTTTTTACATTGTACAAAACCCCAAAAAATGATGAGGGAGGTGATTTATTTTTTTATTTTATTGATTTAGCAATAAAAAGGGTCAATGAGGCACCCTTGGAAGAGATGAGGGAGGGCCTGAGAACCAAGAAATTAATTTTTTTTTGCCTAAGGAGTTAAGAATTTTATATTTCGTAAAACATGAATATACCTGATCAAACGTGAATGTATCAAAACCTGTAATTATAGACTTACCATATCCTGCAGATTTACTGTTTTCCGAAGCAAAATAGATTCCGCTTCCGACACGCCCCCCACTGTGAGGCATAATCCTCAGACCACTTTTTAAGATGGCGGCGACCACCGCCACATTAGTTCCGTGCCACAGGAGTTTTCGATTGGTAACCTTATCATGTTGTTTAAATCGTTTTTCCTGCAATTTAAAATCATCGAACTTCAAATTGAGTTTTAATTCAATTGTTTTTTTTCCTGTCCTTTTTTTAAACATTTTTTGTTTGTTGGTTATAGATGTATATGTTCCTCATACATGTCATAAGTAATCATTTTTTAGATTATTAACTATTTTTTTACAAATGCAAACTATGTATCTATCAATGCAAAATTGCTGATTTTGAAAAATTATGTTTGAATTTTACTCCTCCAAGTATCTTGTTATTGAATTATTTTGAAGGTAAGAATTTATCAGTAGAAAAATAATAGATTTTGCATGTATCACTCCCTCATATCTCCCTCTCCCCTACCTCCTTACATTAATACAATCTTTCCGCATTGTGTAAATCATATATATATCTAAATAATGAAAAAAATTCAAGAATCACAAGACTCGGAAATCATTTTTACTGTTAGCGCTTTCTGCCTAATGCCTAATATATCTATATATTCAAGTTTGATCCAGGTGAATACCCCCATTCCCTTTCCTCTGGGTGTTTCTTACCTCACCCTCTCTCCGCATGGACCAGATGTGTTTTATCTTAGGAGTTCTCCAGCCCCCTTTATTTCCGGTCTCCTTTGTATAAGTTTCCAAAACCTGAAGCAAAATTCAACAAAATGATCAATGAATTAAGTCACCACATTTGCTGTCATTTTTGCTGACCAAAGGTAACGACCATCCCCTTGTTTCTTTTTATGAAAAAAGGAGGGGCATCATCTCAAGGCACGGTCCTGAGTCCGCATATAGCTCTTTCCTACAGAATGGGAGAGGATCGTTGGCTGTGGTTTCCGACGATGAAGGGGGGGGGGGGGTCGTAAACTTAGCGAAGGTGCATTCTCGCGTATATTAGTATCCATATAGATTATTTACAGAAATAACCGCAATCCAATGAAAACTTTGCCTCACTAATAAAGAATTTAAAATGACTATCCCGCGAAAATAAGGTGTCGAGAAAAGAATGGAGGCGTAAACGCAAGGACAATCCATCGCTGTAAGAAAAGACATTTCTCGATTTTTAAAGTTCATAAAAAATTATATTTTTTCAAGATTATATGGTTTATAATATCAAAGCTCTACGTATGAATCGAACTCTCTCCATAGCACATAGATTGGCGAAAGACCGAACGCGTGTACGAAGTATGTGATATTGGTGTCTGTCGGTGTGATTTAAATGAACGGGTTTGTTGAAGTGTAATTTTTTTCAGAAATGTTCGATTTTCATATAGAATGGGTTCAGATTCCATTATTTGGACAAATGAAATGGCTTCACATTTACGTTTTGGTCATTTAAGCCTTAACGAAGAATGGAGACTTGACCTATTCATTTCAAAATTCATTTTTTATGGCTCTAGTAAACCCATTTTCCAGGGAATACGCTTAACTGTAAATTTTGGGGAAAAAAGATTGTCAAATTATAAGTCGTTCAGCAAAATAAAATGATAAAATGTTTTGAAGATGACATTACTGGGAACACGATTTTAGAAAAATATAATTTTTCCGTGAATTTTGAAAATTGAGAAACATATTATCTCGAGGGGGAGGGTGTCCACACCCTGTACGCCCCTTTCTTTGTATTCTAAATCTAATACTTGTAAATGCATTGTATACCCCAATGGTATTTTAAATGGATATTATAATTATCATTTTCAATTACATTTTTAGAGAGAGAGAGAGAGAGAGATTCGTTAATTTACTAGTTCACAAAAAAGTATACACATATCTATGTCAACATCTTGCAAATACATATTTTATATTTGTTTGTCTATTTGTTATGTGTTATATTTAAGAATGGATTAATCTTTTACCTATTCAAATGTAACAAGAAAATCAAAATGTTACCTTAAATTCCTTAGATTTGGGGTCTAGGTGTTTTAGTTCACATTTCAGGAGACCATAGTTCACGTCCAAAGGATCGGGCTGTTTCCCAGAGTCCTTTAAATAAAACAAAATAAGAAGAACTATGATGAGAAACAGTGAATATCTATTTTTTTTTTTATTGTGGAATACTTTGATTCATGTATCCCAGTGTTTGTAAATTGCAGGCAAAATTTGCATGTAGTTTAGTAAGTATTGGAAAGGACACGATTCCGTGAATTAATCCTTAATACAGCAGATTTGATGAATGAGTATACGCTTAAATGTAGAAAAAATGTTCCAAATGTTCCACTTTGAGGTGGGGGAAGTAAAAGGGGTAAAATGTTTACTATATACAATGTACTTATTATCAGACTGTCACGACAGAATAAAATAGAATTATACATACCGTGGTAGCCTTTTCCCTCTCTTTTTCAAGAGTCTGTGCAATTTCTATGTCACCCAAAACCTTTTTTAAAGGAAAGCATAATTATAATTTCAAGTAATTTGTACACGTAAAACAATTCATCATTAATGCATCCAGAAGTTTATGTATAAATTGACAAAAGCAAATGTCCTACCAACAGCATGTCATATTTCTGGCGAACGTCTTCAAGCGTTTTCATGACAGGCGGAACTCTCCTCCCAAAATCATGAGGAATTACAGTGTAAAATTTGGAGGATAGTGCCATCATTTGTGAATTATTTCTAGAATCTATTGCTTTTTCTAGCTCTTCTAGGACTTCGAATCCTTTTGCAATTTGCGTCTTGCTCAATTTTCCTAATGGCATCTTTTTCACGTCTGAAAAAGAAATTAGAAATCTAAAAAAAAAGGCTTCTATTATAATCTACAATGTAACACTTTGTGTTATTCAAACTGAGTTCATGGAATGGGGCGAAATTCCGCAATTTTTTTTTTTTAAATACTACTACATGCATATTTCTATTAAGAAAAAAGCGATTTCCGTTTTTCTCAACTTCATATTCATGTACATATACATATCTCAATTTTTAAATTAAAAAAAAACTATGAAACTTACCAATATCAAAACTCTTCATAGCATCCTTAAACATATCATGGTCAAAGATGAGCCTCAGAAGGGACTGGGTGGGTGCGTCGAGTGTACATTTCATTGCCGGCCCTTTAGACTTAGTTTTAACCTAGAGACAAATAAAAAAAATCATACATGTAGATCTTGTCAAACATCGTTAGGTTGTACCCATCCCATGCATCAACTATGCACCCCTCATCAAACTAAAATTTTACTTCAAACGTAACTGCTTTACATTTTTAAAAAAAAAATTACTTCAGCGGGGGCATCTGCTTCGTCCTCATCCTCCAAAGACATTTCAATCATCGTGTATTTCCCTTTCATCGGAGTAAAGGAGTCCCTATTCTCCCACTTGTTTTTGGTCTTGTCCTGGAACTTTTTGGTGAAATCCTTGATGGCACCGTCTGCTGTACTAAATGGGCCTTTCATTGCATTGGCACCGCTCTCACCCTGCGTGAATAGAACATGCTTTGAAATAGTCACTCTTGATAAATTATTACAAAATTCATACAATTTATCATTACTATTTATTTCCAATTGTCCAATGATTTGCAGTTTTTTTTTATCAGTTCATAGATCAGTATCACACAATTCAGTTGTGTGGGTTTTTTAAACCTCAAGTAGCACCCCCACCCAACACACAAACAAACACACACACACACACACACACTGAAAATCCGGACTGTAAATGACTTACCACTCGCCCCCAACGATTCCAGGCATAAAAACTGCCAAGTCTATTCAGGACTTGAATGACGTAATATTTGTTGTTGTTGTGACCGATGTTTGTTTGGTTCAGCATACAATCATAATCCTCATATACCTGGAAATTCAAAGAATATAATTTTTTTTACTATATAATACTACATTTTCCTTATATCGCAAAACGTTATGGGGGGACCAGCCTTTCAATGAACATTTCCTATAGTGTAAGTACTTTTGGGGACCCCCCCCCCCCCCCTGTTGCTACGTGCCTGTTAAGATCAAGATCTCAGAAAATTGACAAAATATGGTAAATTTGTCAACTGTGTCCCACCACATGGGTGAAAAATGGATGGCAAATTTTCATTTGTGTCCGTTAGATTCAATGTCCCCTCGGATATAATATAAGTATTTGAAAAAAAAAAAAGAAAATAAGAAAAGTAGACTTCTCCTCCACGATAAACTTAAAATTAACAATATCCATTTATATTTATTATTAAAAAAGCATCATATGGTACGTTAAGCTCATGAAGTGATACATTGTTCACTCACTTTTAAGCTAATATGTTTCTGAAGAGTATAATTTTTAATCCAAAATGATGGATTGCTAATTAATTGACTAGTGGTACTGTTGTTGTGTATCTACCTAATAATATTAGGTAAAAGGGTTAATTTTTGGTAAGAAAAATAAGTAACGTCAAGTGCCTGTGGATTTAACACAACCCCACCCACCCCCGAACTTTTTTTAAAATGCTTTAACATGATGACAAAATACACGCACATGATTATTTCCTATTTTCATATTCTGTACCGTAAATATGGTAAAAGGGCAATCTCTAAAAATTAACAAAATGTCTTAAAACAAGATATCAAATAATAAAGCATTGGTATGAAAGGCTAGGAATTTGTGTAATTTTGTTTGTATAGTGATCATGGTGTCTACAAAATCTTAGATGGACCGGGGGAGGGTTATACCAATCATTCGATCGTCAGGTGCCGGTGCCTACAAGTATCTTAATCTATTTATTTTACGTCATTTTATCAATTAAATGTTTTTGTAACTCCGTGAATCCTAGGCCCAGCGGACCCCCCCCCCCTTTTTTTAATGAATCACCTCATAACTGGCCGCCTGGGGCACAAAGGCGTCGACTTTTCTCTTCTTCTTGGAACCAGATTTGTTTTCTGAGGCCTTAAGTTTAGCGATGACGTCTTGTGTGGTTTGGGGCTTGTCTTCCTCTTCTGGGGGATTGGCCTTGGCCTTCTTTCCTCCGGCCTTGGCCTTAGCGGGTGCTTTTCTCTTGGGAGGCATTTCTGAAAGAAAACAAGGATCAAATGGTTGAAGTATGAACCTAGCCCTTACCGTTCAGAAGTAATGACCGAGGTTAAATTTTTTCTAAAGGTAGGTCAAACTCCAAGGTCAAAGGGTCAAAGTTGTTGGTATCCAAAGGAAGATCTTATCACAAAAATACATAAGTGAAGCACGAAAGCCCTGGCCCTTGCAGTTCCAAAGTAATGGCCAAAGTTAAAGCTAGTTTTTAAAGGTAGATCAAACTCAAAGGTTAAGGTCAAAGTTGGTGGTATCCAATGAAAGCCCTTCAGTGTCGCTTACTAAATAGAACATTGCGCGAAAACCGTTTCAAAAATTGACAGAAAAAGCGATGTCGGCCATCTGAACAGGACAGCGTCTAATCAAACAATAATTGGGCTGAAACGACGTCAGACACAAAATATTTATTCAAACAACTTGAAATTATTAGAATATATTGATTCCATTGATTTGTAATTCGAGTATACGATTTTTCAACGGTGTATAACATTTTGGAGACACTACAAGAAGTGGAAAACCACTGTTATTTGATGAAAATAGGATAATTATGATCCTTATTCACGACGTTGTTATAAAACTAGCGCCGTCGGACTGGATTGTGCAACCTGTGTATACGATTGAGGTAGGTGCATATATTAGTACTTGTGGACATGACCCCCCTCCCCCGATTAACGTTTTATCAAAAAAAAAAATTATATACCTTTGTATAATAACGCGAGTGTGAGTTTTTAATAAAACGTTAATCTACGTTACTTTTGGATTTTTCATATTGAATATATTGTAAATTTTTTATATGTACTAGAAGAATATTTCTAGAAAAAATTCTTTTGACCCGGGGATGTACATGTATATTGTGTGTGTGTGTGTGGGGGGGGGGGGGGGGTCCTGTCCACAAAGTACCTGACAGTGTGACATGTGATAACAATATATTCAAAATCCATATTCTTTTACCGTAACGTTATATCGTGAAATTGTATCATGGCTGCGGTGTTTTTCCTTTGAAGTAAAGTGTACAATAACTGGAGATACACCGATGGGCGGAGCCAGCAAAAACTGTGCCGTGTAAATAAATCATTGAACACTTACGCGATTTCATCATTTTAAATCACATGTATATTGAATCTGAATTACAGAATGAAATGGGCTATAATACAAAGGCTAAATTTCTGCAAGTGAAATAAAAGTCTTTTACATAAATAAAATTACAGTGCGTATCCCAAACTACTAAATGCTTTTAAGGAACTCTGCAAATATTCAATCCTCCACAACGAGAAATCAAGTTCTTGATACGAATTTCACACAGAATTAGATTAAAATATCACACCTATTGTGATAAACCGCTTTAGCAAAAAAAAAAAAACCATCTTTGCCGTGTTCTTTGCTCAACGAGAATAAGTGCAGATGTACTGCATCCACAGATGAAGACCCTGACACAGGCTTTTAGTGAACGCGACAGCTCTCAGATATGTCAAATGATCAACGGGTACCTTTTTTCTGGATTTTCGAATAACATCTGAGTTTTCCTTCTTAACTTCGATTTTTTTCCTGTTTGATATCCAAAGGTTTTCTTGTGATATTCATTAAAATAAAATCCGTGCTTAAATTACGACGGGATGCTGCAATCCGACGTCCTTTCTCGTGAACACACACAGGTAAAATGAGTTTATTAAAAATACTGACAGGAAGGATAGATTATCCATGCGGTCACCTGACAAAAACTACATTTTCTATTGGTGTAATTAAAAATCATGCATATTATATGTGATATGACGTATGATTGGCCATGATACAAGAAAGTTATTGAATATTTATTATGGTGTATCCTGATTGATTTGGACGAAGGGCGGAGACTCGTGCTTCGCACTCGTCACCGCCCTTCGCCCAAATAACTCAGGATACACCATTATATACAATATAACTATTACTTAGCGTTATGGCTGGACCCATTGTCGCAAACCATGGACAAAATGTACGATCCTCTCCCATTCTGAGAGAGAGCTGTGTAAGCGGACTCCGAACCATGGCTTGAGCTAGACGATGGACTGGGTACTAAGGAGAGAGCTATGTATACGCGGACTCCGAACCGTGAGTCAGCACGTTGCCACCTTAGAAAATGGCAACGTGTTGACTCAGGACTCCTGGCTTGTGAGGATGTCCGAACCGTGGGTTGAGACGATGGGTCGTGAGACTTGCATATATACAAATTAAGTATTTACACCTAGAGCTAGCGTTCATAGAACAGTGTGCTTTGTTTTATTATTATTTTTTTGGTATATTTATAACTACCGGGTACATATGTATATCATGGTCTACATTCAGATTATTACGTGCAGAACTATAACTCTCTGTTTTCACAAGCATATAAGTTGAATGTCAACATACAGGTATATAAATTGCAAGGTTGGTTTAACATGTTTAATGTAAAACTTTATAAGACTATAATTTATTGAGGCCATCCTTAAAAAAAATGTTTGTTTGGAATTGCCGCCTGAAGGGTCTCAGACTCAGGAGGGAGGGAGGGAAATTATTATTTTTTTTAATTGAAAGCCTAATTTTACATAGATATTTCAGTGTTTTGTATATGGTGCATGTGATACATGTAATGGGCAAAAAAATTGATTAAATAATAAAAATCTTCCTACTTTTGGTCAGTAAAATTTTTTCAGGAGGGGGCATTTCAATGAGGCGGGAGGCAATTCCAAACAAACTATAATTTTATTTTGGCCTGATTGCAATTTTAAGCTGCTTTGTTATACATGTTTAGGTGTATAATACTTCGTTTTTTACACTTCCCCTTTTATTTGGCTTATGGACATGTGCATGCATGCATATAAATTTGTCGACTATTTAACAATAGTGAAAAAAAAAACCGAATACATAGCGACCACGTCTGTATATTTTACATACCCTTTTGATCAATATCGAAAGAAATGCAGATCGAGCAAAATAACACATAACGTTAAAATATGCACAGGGACACGCCCCCTTAAATAGGTCACATATTTTACTTACCTTGCTGAAGTACGGAAATAATGATAACAGAAAGTGAATATTGTTGAGATACAGATTACAGACGATCGACTGATCGTCGGCCGGCGTTTGTGTGTGTATATATAGACTGTAAATTGCCTGTTCTTGCTTGCCAAATATTTTGTGGAATTCCCTCGATCGTTCGTAACAAGGACTTTTTCTTCTCGGTGTATGGTAACCTGAAGTAGTGTTCCGAATGCCTAGTGATCTCTTGTTTCTATTTTTATTTTTCACTTCTAGACTGGCGATTTATGATCGATAAACAATGATAAATTGTCTATAAAAAAAAAAAATGTGGGAAAAAACAAAACAAAGCAAAACAAACTATTCATTGTGTAAAATATTTATAGTATTACACTACGTATTTATTTTCTTCTCCATGTTTACTGCTGTATCCATTTTTTTTTTTGGATCCACCAATCTTTCACCAAAGGGCGACTGAGTGGGGGCGTATTGGATCCACACCTTGACAGTCGTCATGTGATGAAAAAAAGTTATTTAAAGCCAAACTTTAAAGTCATGTGATCACAAAAAAGCAAAAATGGCGGAAGGCGATTCATCAGGTATAAAATCCAGCAAGTTTAGGCACAGAGCTAGACCAACGTATCTTTGTTTAGCTACCAAGAGTAGCTTAATTTTGCTATTTAATGCAAGTTTAACTTATGTTTGATATACTTTAAATCAACTTAAAATACACAAAACTAAATTTGAGCATAGCTCAGTTACTGGGGTCTTGGTTTATATAAATTTATAAATATGTATGCACCTTATTGATATATACTTTTATTTTCACAGATGAATAAGCTACATACATATTTATAAACCAAGACCCAAGTACCTGTGAATTTGCGTCGTGCTAAAATTTCCACTTTTACGGTATCTTATGTGTAAATTAAAACAAACTTAAATTTATTATATAGGTATTTAATGCATCAACAATGTAAAATTATTCACCTTGCAATTTTCTAGGGAGTGTGGAAAACATTAAGAAATGGGAAGAGCTGGCTTCAGATGGGGATGAAGCCAGTCAGGTGCTCTTAGGAGAGCACTATCTAAAGCTGGCTGACTCAGGTTCAGAGGAGGATAGGCAAAAATACGGGAAAATAGCCGTCACGTGGCTGATAGAGGCCTCCAAACAGGGAAATGAGAAAGCGGATGAACTCCTGAACAAATGTCTCCAAACAAAAACAGGTATTAAAATGTGGAAAGCTATTATAATCTTTGTGCCAAAAACTGTATCATGATGAGGGTTAAATATTTATAGGTGTTAACCCTTTGTGTGCGGGAACCCAATATATTGGGTCTGACGTCATAAACGCTACCGTGCGGGAACCCAATATATTGGGTCTGAGTTTGGAATTAGCACTTCGTAACATAAAACTTTGTATAGAACGTATAAATGAGTTGTGAATTACTAAAAATCTATCAATATGTATTATAAAACTACTATACATTGAAAACTAGGTAATTAAGATGTGAAAATCTGCGAATTATTTGTGAAATTGTGATTTGAAGTGAAGGTGTTGGCGTTTGTTACGATGAAAAGTCAGTCCGCTATTTTTGGAAACAGGGAAAAAACGCGCATGTAATAAATATCTACTAACTTGCTCAAATATAAAGGAAAATAAAGAAATAAATCCAAAAAATAGTTAATACTCAATAATTCTAATAAATTTGTGTTAGTAGACTTAAAATTACTTAGAAATTTTCGATATCTTAGCAGAAAAACTCTGGTTAACTTGAGTTGACCTTAACCTTGCGAAGTTCTTCCTGTTAAAACGAAAGTAGGATGCACATGCTACTGAACTTCAGTCTGAAGCATATCGAGAGCTTATATGGTCGGCAAAGTTTTATATTTTGGACATACGGTAGTTATTATTTGTTTATTTGGTGTTTTGTAAGTAGACATACATTACACCGTCTAAATAAAAACAATAATGCGCGAGATTGAACCTGGCAAGTCACAGACGTTTTTCTGTGCACGTTGTTTACATACGTAAATCAAGCTTTGCTTTGAAATAAAGGTTAACAAAAAATAATTTGAAGCATCTTGTTAATTAAAAGCATTTTTTTTTTTTAACAATAAATAAACAAATAAATAAGTAAACATTTTTTTTTTAAATCTAAAGACCCATTTCAAAAATGTTGAAAGATAAAAAAAGGTTCCATCTAATAAAAGTAATAAATGTGGAGGACCTTGAACATTGTAGAAAATTTTCCAATGAGTTATTGCATTAATAAGTGAGTGAAAAAGAGATATATAGAGAATATATATCCATCAACATATTTTTGTGATCAAGCAAAATTAATTCATGATACACGTATTCGAAATATACACAATATGAATTTTATAATTGACAATCATGGAGTCAATTAAGTGGCCCTAATTACACCTAAAAATTCTGGTTTAAAGCTGCTTGATGTTCCATCTATTTGGGAAAACTTTCCAATATTTTTTTATAACAGTATATGATAAATTGTAAAATTTTTAGCACAATTAAAAATAAACTTGATTTTTTCTATATAGTGTCTTCAAATGTAAGCTAGTTATCAGAAAAGATGCATTGATGCATTTGATCATGTGCATATACATGAAAATGGTAAAAAGTGATGAAAAAATTTTGAAGTGCTGATTTTCCCTGAAATGACTGTCATTTATGTAAACTGTGGTATTTGTTTTATTTCAGTAAGTGATAAAATACCATTTTTATTTCCTTGATGAGGATTATAATATAGACTCTCAATAATTTCAAAACCAAAATATGATCTGGGATCTTTGGTATCTTAGAGTTAGATTTCTTCAAGGCATTTACATACTCTAGTTTGCATGGGACCTAATTAGTAAGTGAAAATTGCACATTTCCTCCACTTTTTATTTTTATTTTATTAAAAACCAAAAGACTGCCCCAACATATACATGCACACACAAAATTATAAAATTCACTGGTTAAATAAATGGTAACTCTACAGTTTAAAATTAAGATGAATTGTCATTTTTGTAGGCATAAGAAGGAGATCAGAGTCTTTAGAATGAGTAATTTGTAAATTGTATGGACTTGCATGTACATCTGTTCAATAAATAACAATAAAGACTGGGTAATACAGCAAAACTCGTTTAGTACGAACACGAATGTTGCGAATTTACAGATATAGCAAAGTCAATTTGGATACCCAGCTAAATAAATTTAATTGATTTCTTATACAGTTATAACGAATTACAGATATTGTGAAGTAATTTCATAGGTCCCAGTGACTTCGTTATAACTGAGTTTTACTGTAGGAATTGTACTTCTCAAACTCAAAAGTACACACTGTACAAGTTTTCACCTACTAATATGTAATATGTCCTCTAGTTTACAAATTCATAAGGCCCAAGAAGCTTCTACATTCCATCCCTTCTAGATATGTAACAGTAAATGAATACAGAAAAAAGGCTATGATTTGCTGTGAGAATTTTTTTATCAATGATGGTGAAATTTTTTTTTTCAAAAATGCAAATTCCTGTGCAATTACGTATCAACAAAGATTACATTTTGGTCTCCAAAGATATGTTTATAATATGAATGGTTACTAAGAATACAAAGAAATCCCATAGTGGAAATAAAATATAAATTTCATTACTATATACAGGGTTATTTTTGCCCCGTGTTATTTTCGCCCTTTTGAACTTGTGAACAATTTTGCCCTGTTTTAAATTCACCCAGTCATAGTTCTGTTTAGGAAATTATGAGGTGTAATTTGAATTTTGCCCAATCAAGGAGAGGGTGAAAGGGGAAAAAAATAAAACAGGGGCGAAAATTTCCCTGTATACAGTATTAGGAATAATATTTTTTGTTGAAGTAAAGATTCAGGCACATTTAAAACTTGTGTAATAGGAAAGAAGAAAATGTATGGTAACTATGGTTGGACCAGGAATTAAACTCAGGAACCCTGCTTCACTAGTCAGTACCGTGCTCTACCGAATGAGCTACCCAGGTTGATACCCATAGCACAACCATTACATATCCCTCCTTAAAGTTATCTTTATCCTTGCAGACACAACCCAAATTCTTATTAGCCCCTGACAGGACTTTCACTTGCAAATCCAGAGGGGTCAATAGCATCAAATATGTAACAAGGAAGGAGAAAATGCACGGCTGGACCGTGAATCGAAGAAGGGGCCCCTGCATCACCGGTCAGATGCGCTACTGACTGAGCTTACTTGGCCTATATCCATGACCCATACCATTAGACTTGCATAAACTTAAAAGTATTTCATAATATATTGATTGATATTATGGTACATATCTGTCAACCATCATTAACTAAAATCAATTGAAAAAAAATCAAAACTGTTATTCACCAGTGACCACATTGAACGAAGTCATTTTTGAAAACATTATAAATGACTGTTAAAGGTGCTTAAATTTCTAAAATTTAAAGTACTAGTTTTCCTGCTGGCAATTATTGTTGCCAGCCAGGAATAAAACTTCTAAAATAAATGCCACATATTTCTTACAGAGTGAGAAGTACTGTGGGAGGAAAGTTGACGAATATGTAAACTTTACAAATAACACGGAGAAATGCATTTTCTTCAATAAAAGCAAATTTTAAATAAAAAAAAAAAGATTTGAGAATTACTAGTAAGAGTATATTTAGAGCTGTTAGATACCAGTCATTAGAAAATAAGACCTCTATATCTTAGTTTAAATGTTATTATATTTATTTTTTAATTTATTTAACATATTGACTGCTTTAATTTGAAAATGAATACTAGTAACAGCAATTAGTTCATTGTTGTGCCAATTTGCTCCAAGATTTCCCAACCTTGAAAACTGCATATTCTTTGAGGATCATACTTTCTTATATGATTGCCTATATTTCTTAAAATAATCACTGGTTTTATATTTACAGGCTAATTGAATCTTCAATTTATACTCTTTTCAGTTAAAATCTGAAAAAAATCCATTAACTTGAATCAGAATTCACTTAAACCTACATGAATATATCCCTTACTCAGATAAGTATACAATGACTTTTCACAATATAACGGTATATATAACATTGACTTTATCATTGAGTTATTGTTTAAATTAATTTTTTTTTTGCATAATATTAAACTAAAATTGA